TCAGCACATTCTCGACTTTGAGATCCCGGTGCAACAGCGGAGGCTTGAGATAGTGCATACATGCGACACCCTCGGCCACGTCCGAGAAGATCTTGATAATCTCCGGCTCGGTCAACCGGTTCTGCAAGCGCGTATTCATGAAGTCGATCAGTCCGCCGCCGGCGCAGAACTCCATGAGGAGGAAGACCTCGTATCCGCCGCCCTGCAGTTGCGACGCATGGGAGTCAATGTAGGTAACGATATGGCGGTGTCCTTTGAGCTTCTTCATCGTTTCGACCTCGGTGCGCATGTTGGCCAGGGCCGCCTTGTCGGGGACGGCCACGCGCTTCAGCACTGCACGATCGGAACCATCGACGGGTTGAGGCAGGCGCACGACGTAGACGTGGGCGAAACCGCCCTCGGAGAGGTATTTCTCGACCACGACCCGGTGGCTACCAACCTGGACCTTGGTCCCGGGCAGAAAGGTACCTGCGGGGGCATTGATGGCGGCCATGGGGTTGTAGACGGGGATCGGGAGATGCGGAGCCGCCTGGGACTGGTAGGACATGGTGGATGGGACGGGCCCTCGAGGGGCACGAGAGCGATAGTTAACAAGGACAGGCTATAGCGGCATCAAAGGGAAACGCTGATTGCGCGCGAGAGAGTAAGAAATAGAGGTCGGGTGAGGCTGAAGCCGGGGCAGGACGGAGAGAGGACAGTTGGCGGCGGGGAAGGGGGCGGTACCTGACAGGGCCAGGGGCAAGAAATGACGCCAACAGGGGGGGTGGAGAGGAGAGGAGAGGAGAGGAAGCGGAGGAAGGAAAAAGAAAAGGGAATTTCTGGGAAACAGGTCGAGGGGATGGGAAACAGCAGCCAGCAGAGCCGGATGGAGATCAGACTGACCAGCAGCAGCAACGCAGCAGGCGTCAGGACTGGAGACTGGAGACTGAATGGATTGGATGGCGTCGGCCGGCTTCCGTTAAGCGTGGAGTCACCGCCTGGCAGTATATTTGGTGCAGCAAAAGGCTGAAACAAGGAGGATCTCGGATTGCAGGCTGACAGAAGTGGTTTTACTATATGCTGGGGAGAGTGTGAGAGAGACAGAAGTTTGGAGGCAAAAGTATCTCCCCTCTTCTCTCTCCTTTCCATCTCCGCAACTGACTTAACGCATCCCGTGATCGCTTGGTGCCTGGAGATCACGGACGGACATCATCGTGATCATCCCGGCTGCAGGCGGTCAGAATCCGACCATAGCAGTGATGGCAGCGGTCATTTTAGCTTTAGTATCTACTGCGACTGGACGGAGATTTAGGATTAGTGTTGGATGTGACTGGAAGTCATCCGTGAGGCCATCCGACTCGTCTGTTGCCTGAGGCATCAAAGAGAGGAGATTTACACGTGATAGCCATTAGTCATGAATTGAACCAACCAGCGAGTGCGGAGACATCGACCAATCAGACGACTGCCGGTTCCCCACGCGATGCTCCAAAACAGCGAAACCAAAACAAACACAAACACTCGATATCTGGTGATCCTGCAGAGATAATATCGACATATCTGATCTGTATTGTTGCAATCAGCGGATATCACAAGGAATCCATGGTCGTCTACCCAGTAGATAACTCTAAGCCCATCCGGCCAGGGTTCTAATTAAGGTTGTGAGATCCCAGCCGGGTTCGCGGCGGATGCTTGTGCTCTATAGACTTCCGCTGGAATGTGGACGTGCCACTGCATTCATCACAACATTGTATAGCAGGATGCACCGGGGCTCATTGGTAGTGCATTTAGAATTCCAATCGCTCTCTAGAATGTAGTGGACAGCTGAAGCCGATCCCATCGGTATTTCCATTTGACAAGGGATCACATCGGAGACAATCAATCGGTGGTGCTCAGCAACTGAAACCCAGCCATTGATCATCGTTTGTCCCGATTTATTGTCAACTATTCCATCATCTCCTTCCACTGCCACATCAGCTACGTTACACACACACAGCAGATATCCCACCGCTCAACGGGTGAGCGATATTGTATATACATAGTACATCTATCTCATTACGCTGGTCGCCAGGGATCCGTTAGCGTTGCTGCGAGGATCACACAAACGGAGTCGATCCTGATTAGGCGCTCCTCTTGCCGCCAGCCGATCTCTCATCCCACGTCGCCTTTCTTCTTCGTCCTTTCTCCTCCCTCGCTATCATCGTGTCACCTATTCTTATTGTTCCACCAGGTATGTGCTCTCACTGACGATTGCTGTGCTATCTGACCTTCTCTCTCGATCTAGACGCGCTGATTCCAGCGCCTGCCGTTGTTTGATCATGTCGACTCGATCGCAAGTCTGCCTCCACTAGTCATCAACAAGCGATATATATTATATAAACATCAAGCCTAATCATCCTTAACGACCGCTTACCATGGACGACGGTCCTCCTCCACCCCCTCCCCCTCACGGCGAGAAACCACAAACCACCCAGGGCGAATATCGCAAGACTTCCGACCTCCCTCCGGGAAATTACGACATCTTTATCATCCCCCCTCACTCCGCCGGCTCCGGATTCCTCTACCTTCCTTCCCTCCAGCCACAACGTAACAGCTTCATCGCGGGATCCGCCTGCACATTCTTCGCCGTCTTGCTATGGACCCTTATATCCCCCCTTCTGAAAGCATGGTGCGCTGCCACTGTCGCCAGCGGCAATGGCCTGGCCATCGCCGTGCTGGCTGTCGGAGTTGGGGTCGCCGGGTGGGCCGTGGGCGCCTCACAATCCGATTCTGGGGGAGGCCGACGACGGCCCAATTTTGGATTTAATACCGGCGGGGGTCCAGGCGCGGGTGGACCCTCCGGCAATGGCGCCGGAGATGAGTATGCACGGGGACAGCAGCATGGGGCCCAAAATCAGGGCCCGAATGGTCATCCTGGTGGACAAGGGCAAGGACAGCAGCAATATGGGGGCAACTTCAATTCGGGTCCGCCTCCGGGTGCAGGCCAGTATGGTGGGAACCATCAATACCAGAATACTGGTGGGCCCGGAAGTGGACCACCCCCGCAACCGCCGCCGCAGGCAGGCGGATCAAATAAGACAGGTTCGTCTGCCACCGGCTCTGAAAGCAAACCTCAAAGTGGAGCTGATTGGGAGAAGGCCCGTGAAGAGACCCGGCGCAAGGAGGAGCTGCGCCGCAAGATGGAGGAGTTTAAGCGGAAGCGGGAGGCCGAGCAGCGCGAGAAGCAGCAGAAGCGCGAGCGCGAGGCCATGGAGCGGGAGCTGCGTGAGCGCAGGGAGCAGCTCGAGAAGGAGATGGCTGCCGCCAAGGAGGCGGCCGCCCGCGAGGCTCGAGAACGGGCGGAGCGCGAAGCAGCCGAGGCCAAAGCCAAAGCGGAGCGAGAGGCCGCGGAAGCTCGAGCCAAGGCGGAACGAGAAGCAGCGGAAGCACGTGCCAAGGCGGAGCGTGAGGCCGCGGAGGCCAAGGCTAAAGCGGAGAAAGAGGCTCGAGAGACCCGCGAGCGAGAAGCACGTCGGGCAAAGGAAGCCCGAGAACGAGAGGCGCGACGCGCCGCCGAAGCCAAGGCCCGTGCTGAGCGCGAAGCCGCGGAGGCCAAGGCTAAAGCAGAGCGTGAGGCTGCTGAGGCAAAGGCCAAGGCAGAGAAAGAGGAGGAAGAGCGTAAAGCTGCAGCTAAGAAGGAAGCGGATGCCAAGTTTGCGGCGCTCAAAGAGGCTGCCGCGAAGAAGTATGCTGAGAAGAAAGCCAAAGATGCACAAGAGGCAGCGGCCAAAGAGGCCGCCAGCCAAAAGGCGTCTAGCACGTCCACTCCCCGCACACCATCACCCAAGAAGCCTGCTTATCCCCGCACCGACACTGACAGCTCATATTCCAACTTTCGACCGACTGACCGTCCGCGCCGGCCGTACGGCGGTGCCACCTCGGGGTCATCAGTGTACTCGGACTCTTCATACGCGCCGTCACAGACAACAGCACGAACGACCCCGCCGCCATCGAATCGCGGCGCCTATGAGACCAAAGACCCTGATAAGATTGTTATCAAGGGTGTGTTCGAGTTCAACAACAACTTTGTGCGCAGCCCTGTGGCGCAGCTTGTCTCAGGCCAGGGCATGGTCAGCGATGGACTGGTTCTGAGGATCACAACAGAGGGGCTCTTCATCGACGACGATGTACGCGGCGTCGGCCAGCGCGAATGGGACGTAAAGGCGTGGACGATGAGCCTCGTCGAGGTATGGTGTCCGAAATTCGGGGCGCAGCGCCAACCCCCAAAGCCCCCGCCGGGGCCATTCAATCGGCGGGGCAACGAACCGACCCCAGAGGAATCGGAAGCATTCCTGGGCAACCTACTCAAGATGTGCAAGAACACGTGCCGACTATCGACCGGGGGAGGAGAGGATCAGCGCTCGCTGCATGTGTTGCGGGCGTCGGTGCGTGACCACGAGGGCAAACGGTATGTGTTTGTGTTGCAGGAGACGGAGGGGTGGAAGGTGGCGATAGGGCTGCAGCGGTTGCGACGGGGGACGTTGTCGCGGGCACTGGGGGTGATGGGGTTGGGAGTGAATGAGAGTCGGATGATATTATCAGGATTAGGATATGAGTGATGATACCTTGTATATACCAGTACACATAATGAGCTTTCACCAGTACAGCAGTATGCCAGTATACCAGTGTAGTATAGTAACGTTAGCCCTAAGCCAGATATCCATCCACACATGTATACACATACCATGAATACACACCATAGATAAATAAATCAACACAGATAAACAAAATAGAATCATCATCACCAACCCCACAGTCAATAATCAAGGCATGATGGGAAACCCCTTACAACCTTCCCAGGGTCATGACGTCGGAACCAAACAATACTCTCCCCGCGTAACCCCAAGTGGCCCAACTGACATCAACCCGACAAAACCATCGCAACACCACCACCATTCCCATATCATAATAAATATCTACAGCAACTACAAACAACAGAACAGAACAGAGCAGAACAATGAAATGATACCCGAGAAAGACAGAGAATGTCCCTCTGGACAATCAGCCTCGTCACACAGATCCTGTGTCTGGCGCTGGTGACGGGGTTTGTCGCGCTACGGGGGGTTGTAGCGTGGAGGTTTAAGAAGGGGGTTGATGTTGAGGATGGTACCCATGCCCCTTACCTTTATTTAGATGATTATGTTGGCTAATGGAGTATAGGCTTTTGTTTTGTATCGTTGGTATACTACCCTATCTATACTGAGTACGGTACGGAGTATAGAAGAGACTAATGGGAAAGGGTAGATATTCTTCGACGCATACTGCATATTAATTCTTTTTTGTATGTCCCTATCCCTTCTCCCTACATACCTACATACTATATATATGTACTAACAAAGAAGATAGACATCTTCAACAACGGCACCCAACCCCCCTCAACCCTGACTCCATCCCAAACAACCATCGTGTACAAGGTACAACACCCATACCCATCCCCCCCAAACACACCACACTAACACCCCATATAGTTATTCTACACCCTAACAATAATCTACGTCCCCATGGCCCTCCTCGCCAAACTCACCCTCCTCACCATCCTCGCCCGCCTCTTCATCCTCCGGCGCTCCCAAACCCTAACCGTGTACCTCACCATAACCCTCACAACAATCTACTACATCACCATCTTCTTCATCAAGATCTTCATCTGCAACCCTGTCTCGACATTCTGGACATCGCCCAATAACCCACATAACCCTAACTGTCTCTCAGAGGGGGCGGTGTTTCTCGCTGATGCGATCATGAGCGTTATCACAGACCTGGCTATCCTGCTACTCCCCATCGGGTTGATGTTCCCGCTACGACTGGGCGTGGTGAAGAAGGTGAAGGTGGGGGCTATGTTGGGATGTGGTGGGTTGGCTGTGGGATTTAGTATCTATAGGGTTGTGCTTGTTGTTGGGGTTGGGGTTGGGGGGTTGGGGAATTCGGAGGTGTATGCGAGGATATTACTTTCTGGGTTAGTATTCTTCTATTTCGGCCATTTATGGGGGTTGGTCATGGGGGTTTGGTGTGATATGCTAACTGGTATCTAGGAACGCAGAAGGAGGTTTCGGGCTCATTTGTAGTTGTATCCCTGCGCTGCATATCCTCGTGTCGAGGGTGAAGGCGAAGATAAGGAAGGGGTCGAGGTCGACTACAGGGAAAGGGTCTTCTGCTATTGCGTCTGGGGATGGGAGTGGGAGTGGAAGTGGTGGTGGGAAGAAGAGGGATAGGGGTGTTTCGAGTAGTGGGGGCACTGCGGCGCCGATTGTTATCACCAGTTCGCCGGAGGATGTGCTTCATGATCCTGGGGGGTTGCTTGCTTCGTGTGATGATGGTGGTGATGATGTGTATGATCAGGATGGAGGGGAGGGACGGGGTGAAAAGAATGACAGCAGGGATGATAGGGAGGAAGGATGGGTGTAAATACAGTGTTCACTACTCAAAATTTACTCAGAAAATACTCAGTACAGCATTAGGATCATACATTCATCCTATCCCAACTCATCAGTCATCCCAGGTATATAACGCCTCTGGCATCCGCCAGCATACTATCAATCAATAATCAATAAGACACTCCGTCCACAACGGATGAAGGAAAAAACCAAAGGAAAATAAAAAACCAGTCTATCGCCCAGTCTGTCATGCGGGTGGGAATCAGAGGAAGCAAATCGAACAATCAACAGGAACAGCAGCAACTTTTAGCATGCACGCTGTCTAAAAGGGAAATCCGCCGGGGAATCCTCCGCGCTGTCCTCCTGCGTGCGCAAAGCCGCCGCCGCCGCCGTTCATCATGTTGAACAGCACACTGGGATCGATGTTGATATGGGTTCCTCCCATACCACCCATGCCTCCCATTCCTCCCATACCGCCCATACCGCCCATGCCTCCCATGCCGCCGAAGCCGCCGTGCGAGAACATGTCAGCGGGGTCCATGAGGTCGTCACCGTTGTCGTAGGCAGCACGTTTCCTATGCTGGTTAGCAAATGCCAAACACCACATTTAGCGAGGAACTTACTGAGGATCACTCAAAGTCTCGTACGCTTCACCAATCTCCTTGAACTTCTCGTCACCAGCATCACCGTCCCGGTTCTTGTCCGGGTGGTACTGGATCGCCATCTTGCGGTACGCCTTCTTGATCTCTTGTTCGCCCGCGTCCTTGGACACACCGAGAATCTTGTAGTAATCCTTGCGCTGCGCCTTCTTCAGCTCAAACTCGGCCTTTCTGATCTCCTCTTGGATGCCCTTCTCGGTCGGGTTCGACTCTGCCACCGCCTTGTAGTCACGCACAGCTTCTTCCCAGTTGCCGGCACCGCCGTGCGCCTTGGCGCGCATCTTCTGCGCCTTGAGGTACCCGGGGTCCAGCCGCAGGGCCTCGTTGCAGTCTGCCACTGCGTTGTCGTACTCCTTCAGGTTGATGTAGGCCTGCGCCCGGTTCTGCAGAATCTTGGCATTCTGATCCTTGTTCTTCGGGTCGACTGTCAACGCCTCACCCCACAGGTCGATGGCGCGACGGTAGTCCCTAGCCTTGAATGCCGTGTTACCCTCTTCCTTGGTGCGCACCAGCTTCTGCACGGTACGCAGCAGCTTGATCGCCGTCTTCATGTCCGGGTCCAGACCCAGGCACATCTTCAGCAGCTTCAGCGCCTGGTCCGTGTCACCCATACCATAGAAAGCCCGGGCGCGGATCATCAGCGCATCAGGGTCCTGGCTGTTCACCCGGAGCATGCTGATAGCAATGTCCTGTGCCTTGCCGTACGAGTTGTCGTTGCCCATCTTCAACTGGGCCTCTGCAGTCATCAGTGTCCACTTGCGGGGCTCCTTGACACCTTGTCCGAGGAGCTGGCGGGCCTGGTCGAGGCAGAACAGTACCATGGAGACACCACGGTCCTGCGAGAGAGCCTCCTCCGCCTGGCTGACAAAGCGGAGCATCTTCTCTGCGGCCGCACGGTCAGTAGCGGAGGCCGGGGGCTCAATTTGAGACAGCACATCAAGGGCATCCGTCGGACGGCCCAAAGCGGTCAGGATACGGGCCAAGCGGTACATGATCTTAGTGTTGGTGGGGTCGAGCTCGCGGGCCCGTTCGCAGTCCTCCAGAGCAGCCAGGTATTGGTTGGCCGCCATGTATGCTGCAGCCCGGTTGGACAGGTAGACGGACGAGTTGGGGCTAATCTCGAGAGCTGTACCATCGTTACTAAACTGCTGCCAAAATCTGCCTGAAGTCAGGTATTAACCTACCCTTGTTGAATTCCTCAATGGCGCGGGCATAGTTGCCATCCTTGAAGAATTTGTTTCCAGCCAGCTTGAAAGAGTCGGCCTCAGCGGTGTTCCCATTGGACCTGTGAGGGGGCGGGGTCGGACTCTTCTCCGTGTGAGTACCATTCACACCGTTGGTGGCAGAAGGGGAACCGAGGCGGGGATCGTTGGTGTCGACGTCCATCGAGCTTCGCATATCATCGCGAGCAGCAGCCATAGCGGAAAGGCGACGTAGTTCGTCGGGATGAAGGTTTAGTGGGTGAAAGTTAGGGTCGTGCGAGTACCGATGATGAACGGCAGACAGCGACGACGCGGACCGGGGGACGGACGAGGGTTTCGACCGGACCGAGGCTGATTTAGAGGGAGTGGAGGTGGAACGACTGTGCGCCGGACGAGTAGGTTTTCGAGGAATGGAAGGACGTTGAGTCGGAGTAGGAAACGACTGCGGATGGTGAAGCGGCGGCGTAGGAGGAGGATGGGGGTGGCGAGAGGGAGCCGAATGAACGGTCTTTGCCCGGTGAGGAGGGGGCGGAGGTCGAGTCGGGAATGAGTCGTCGGTCTTGACTCTTGCGGATGGACGTGGGGGAGGAGGGGAACTCGCTGAAAATGAAGAAGAATAAGGAGGAGGGGGGAGAGGAGAGGAAGACGGAGGAGGAGAAGAAACAGGAATCGAGCGAGTGGGAGGAGTAGGAGGAACAGGAGCAGAAGCAGTCGTTGTCGGAGTAGATTTAGACTTGGAAGAAGAGGATTTGGAGGAAGAAGATTTGTGACGAGAGAAAAGATGCGGGAGCCCCATCGCCGCTGGGCTGACTGTGATTGGTGGCGCCGATCGAAGGGCAGCGAAGGCGGTGGAATTTGTTTCTCTGCTTTCTTTCTTTCTTTCTTTCTCTCTCTGTCTCTGTCTCTCTTCAGATCCCGCTGGTGTTATCCCTCACTTGACGCGGGTCTGCACCTGGTTAATTTATCAATTATTATTAGTCGTGTCGGTGGACAGTCAGTGTTAATCTATCACTGTTTCTGTCACTCTCTTTCTTTCTTTCGGTTCTGTCGTAATCCCGATTTTTTTTATCACTGCTCGTATCGGTCTTAATCCGTCTCAAGCACTCATCATGATCGGTCGTATCTGTTCAGTTGCAGCTTCGGAAAAGAATGCCAGTGCGGAGTAGTATCAATCAACTTTTAATGTCACTTCACTGCTCGCGGAAATAAAACACAAGCAAAGCACAGCACAGCACAGCACAGCAAATGTCACAAACACTCAAGTCAAGTCAAAGTCAATACTCAACAAAACGTAGATGAATGAAGTGATGTGAAAAAAAGTTCAATGGCGCTGGCCTCCATCTGTCACGCTGCTACTAATATTAATAGTCTCCATCCAGACGGCCCTCCCAGTCGCTCGAAAATTCGGAGGCTGGGTCACCGACCGTCACTGGCTAGCGTCTTGCCTTCGTCATGCGAGTTGCCAACAGCAACACTACGCGCTGCCAATGATTCCCCTCCATCCTACGCCTCTAGTCTGTCATGGCGGTCGCAGTTTGACAAGCTTTTTCTCTTTTTACTATGTGGCCTAGACTATCTTGACACTGCGGTTGGCTTATCGCTCCGTCACACCTCTCTCTACCCAAGCTGGGGCCACCCGCATGTTGGTGCGTCCAGTCCACGTTTACCCTAACTGCAGACGTGTAACATGGCTTTCCTTCTCGCTGCCTCTCTGTTCTTCTCCTGCTCTCCCGCCTTCCATCTGCATCGGTCCTGCCTCCCCACAGTGCTCCACTTTCTTAGGCACAGCTGCTATTCCCTTGTTACGAAGAACGAACTCCTCCCAAAAGGTGGCCCAGCTGTAACTTTGCCTCAGCTCTCTGGATGATCTGCTCGACCTCGCTCTTAATCCGCACTTGCTCTTCCGAACACTGGCGGATTTGTGGCACGATCAGCGCTCCATGATAATCCCGTGATATTCTCCGTAGACGAGATTGGATTATCCGATCCACTTCGGCTTCCTGACTGTCCAGAAGCTCCATAAGTTCTTGCTTTGCATGCTCCGTACTGCCTCGGAGAACATCATTAGCGTGATCGTCTGCCACTTAAAGAAGGCTTATGATATCGTGCTTCAAGTGCTCCATTCCCCATCTCAGCACAGCTGAGATACGTTGAACGAGCTCCAACGCGCCGTCCTCCAAGGTCGTCCGATACGAACCGAGACACACCATGTAGAATTTAACTTCTTCTGCTCTCTGAAAGTGGAGCCATAACTCATGTATAGGCCCTTCAGTAGTGACAGAGAAAGCGAGACGTGGTTTGGCAAACAGTTCCCGGTCTTCTTCGCGGTCGTGTAGATTCGAGAGAGCACTGAATATTTTCAACGCCGTGGAGCCACTGACGGCGACTTGATTTTGCGCCTGATACAGATTGCCGCCGGTCGCGGCAGCTTTGGCCTCTATCATAAAAAACGGGAAACGAAGCCCCAGGGGGGTACAATGGGGGTCGCTAATCAGGATTGAGTTCTCTTGTAGATCCTGCAAAAACGTTTCGGCACCATCAATGCCTTTGGTAACTAGGAGTGCATTTGCTAGTTCCGAGTCGGAAAACCCGACACAAATGTCGGGGCGAGGGTCCTTGAGTTTAAGGATTGAGGTTGGTTTTTCAACGATATCTTGGGTGGGTAGGAATCTCGATATGGGTTCATTTGAAACGTCTCGCTTGTTCGGGATGAGAGGTACAGGACTGTGGACTTCGGGTTTTATGTCATCGCGCCAGTCTTAAGCCATTAGCATGAATTAACTATTACAACATTAGTTAATAGCTTACCACGATTACTGGCAACTAGGAGCCCAACAGGTATCAACCGATCGATAGCTGAACGTAGCGGTACAAGCCAATCTTGTTCAACAAACGCCCCTAGTACTAGGGCCTTCGATGCAGTTGAGAGATGTTTAGCCACAATAGTAACATCCTCCGTATCAACCCAGGGGTGGAAAACATTGGTATCGACGTATTGCTTGACGTCTACTGGAAGTTCGCTATCAACGCAGATCTTGGCCCTTTGGATGACTCGGCACCGGTAATTGGCATCGGATAGTTTCGTCGGGCTATTAGGCCGCGACCGTGACGCTAGGGGGCTGGACGGAGACATAATCCAGGGAGTTCGGATGTCGGCTGATTCGACTAGACTTTGCCGGACGTTTTCGAGGAGCTCAACACAGGACGTGTGTAGGCTGGTTAGTTCGTTCTCACTGGATGTACCGGTTGTAGCAATGCGCTTTTGGGATGAATATGATGAAGAGCAAGAGTGTGACCGCTTCGATGGTGGCATTTTGGACTGCACACTGTGCGATGTTTGGTAGGTAGGAACGAAAATAAGTTGGGAAGGCAAGAACGGTGGTGTATCAACGAGGAAGGCCCGGACATAGTCAGGTATAATATCAGTGCCCCATGTCATTTTGACCGTTACTTTTCACCTCCGATTTGCTCATGACTCACTCTTCTGTAACAACGTAAAGTTCGGTACCACAGGTAGGTTCCTCTCCAACTCGTCATGATCACGAACTGGGGCCTGCACTGGGGTTTCGCTGTCATCGTCATCACATTCCTGGTCCAGGCTTTAAATCTCTGAAAAGCCACGCTTCACTAGGCATTTCGAAAACTTGTTCCTCGCCGCTATGCAGGAGCTTGGGACAGTATGTTCCTCTTCTTTCTTCCCGTCTTCTAGCTCTTCAGCTCCTCCACTCTGCTGTCCATTTCTTCATTGATCTTCTTTAGCTGAGACCGTAGATCCTTGCGCTGAACCTTGAGGTCCAAGAATCGAGTCTTGAGCTTCTCCACCTTAATAATCTAGGTGGTGCCTGCCTTATGAATGGCTGGCATCTCCAAGGGCTCGCTTTCGTGTGGCTTCTTGCGTTTGGGAGTGATCTCCAATACATCACAGCCGAACTCATCGCCAGTTAGTCGTTCTTCAAGTTCTTCAATATCGGTCTCTATCCAGTCCAGCTGCGAGATTATTGTTTTCTTGGGCTTCTCGAAAGCGTTGATTCCTTTCTTCAACCATTCAACCTTGGCTGGCAGCTGTTGAAATTCGTGGAACGCTGGCAAGTCGAGACCCAGAGAATGAATGACTTCAGTTGGAACTAGGTCGTCGGTTTCAGTACAAATAAAGGTCATGTCATTAAATGCGCAATCCATTTGCATTTGCAGCTTGTAGTTCTTTCCGAGCAGGTCACGCGCGACTTTATTATCGACAGCCCGGTTGATGGGGGCCACGATTTAATGAGCCGAACAGCGTCTCATGTAATCTTCGGTGACGGCAACTCGCGCGGAATTGGAGTCAAAGATGCCAGGAAGGTCCATTAAAACTGCACCAGTTGCCAAGGCTGGGGCTTTGGTGTATATTCGCACAACACGCACAAGAGGCCAAAGCCCGATGCCCTGGTTGGCGGTGTCAGTGTCGCTCGCAGAGTCTGGGTGTTCAGCAGCATCTTGTTTCTTAGCAGACTTCTTGTGTCGGCCTCGTTTCCCTTGCTGCCAATATAGGATTTTAGTTTGGTAGAGAATGCTTTAGGGTCGCCTCCCTCAAAGCCCATAGTAGTCCCCAGGAGATCAGTGACTCTCTCGCTCGCCATCAAGTTAGCAACGGATGCGTTCAAAATGTCTTTGGGTGTCAACATGGGGCAGATGGCCTTGATCTTGTCAAGCGCCACCGCTGCATCGGAATGTTTGGGGATTGCACCTCGAGTAACTTCTTCGTGGTGGTCAAGGAGCTCTGCAAACAAGGCTTCCAATTCGCGTTCCCACTCATGTCGCTTGATGAATTCGACTTCTGCTCTGTACTTCGTGGCTCCTTGGTTGTAGGAGATCTCCGTTGCAACGGCAGTAGAAGCACGCATGCAGTTTGTAGACAAGACATTCTTCTCATCTAAGATCGCGTTGATGAGTGACGACTTTCCTGCGCCAGTGCTTCCAACTAGTCCGATGATGATCTTCTCCGTACAGGCATACTTTTGGATCCGCTCAATCTCAGCATTCCAGTCTGCCTCAGTGCCGAAGGCATCCGATCCTGCGAAAACGGCATATAGCTTTTTCAATATCTCAACTCCTTTACCCACAGCGTTCTCCAAGGCGACGATTTCTTCATTCTCGGGAGTCTTGATATCACACCCCAGAGGCGACTCCTCGACCGAGTCCGCCATGGCGACATCCTCGTCTGGAAGATCAGCTCCCGGTTGGTCTCGGATCTAGTCTCGGATCTGGTTCTGGTTCGCCCTGATCAACAAACATGGACTCAGGAACGACATGATGATCATCAATCTCCTCCTTAACCACAATTTTATGTGGAACATGCGATTCGCTGTCGACATTGTCAACCAAAGCTTTGAAATCGGCAACTGAATCCCGTCAGTCAAGTCTCAAACCAGACCAGAATAAAGCACACTCACAATCAACACAAGAGATCATCTCAGCCCTCCCCTGATCGACACCCGCATAATACTTTTCATACAAGCTTTTCAGAGAACCTTCATAGTCCGCATATATCCAATCCCAACCTTTTGTTTCAAGATACTTGACACGGTCAATGTACAGCTCCCGCAACCTAGGGGTGATACAAGTTCAGATGGCCTTGAAGTCAGGGCAAGCAGGTCCTTCGCTATAATTAGCTTCCACACCTAACCACAAGTACGATATTCAAGCGGGATGTGAGACGAAACACTTACTATCCACCTGACCCTCCCAGCACCGTGCATGTTTCGCAGTCTGCTCAGTCACGAAATGCAACTCAGCAAATTGCAGAACGTCTATCTCTGACTGCTGGCTCTGGGGTTCTTCCTTGGGAGCCCGGGACACCGATCTCGGTCTCGAGCGAGATCGCGTTGCTCCATTGTTAAACCGTCCCAGCGACCTCACGAAGAAACCTCAATGAAGTACTGCAACACAGCATACAAGAAGCACCAGATAATGAAGATAAAGACTGCTATCAAGGAAATGTAGAAGATCCAGTAGACGAGGAGAAAGAGGGAGCGGAACGCGAAGGTCAAGATAGTAAACATAGTTAGTTGGGGGGGGG